TTATTTTTATTACAGCATTTCTAAAGTTTGATCTATTTCTTGTTTAAACTACTACGATACTTGCAAGTTTTCCTTCACATCAAAAGCAGAAAGACAAAACAGTCATCCGAATATAAATTGGATAATCATCTGAATTTGATATGAAATGGAAGTAGAGGCTATTCATAATCCGACCCCAACCACAAGTGCCGAGTTGCAACCCAGTCCAATTTATGCAAATCAATCTTTGTTTCCTTTCTTTTGTTAGGAATTGATCCAGTTGCTTCATCCAAATGAATCTTCGAGGAATGAGCATGAAAATCGGAGCCCCAAGTTTCCCTTCTTTTGTTAGGAATCGATCCAGTTGCTTCGTCCAGATGAGTCTTTGATGAATGTGAATGAAAATCGACTCCTCCAGTTTCCTTTGTTTTGTTAGGAATTAATCCAGTTGCTTCGTTCAAATTGATCAGTGATGAATGAGAATGAAAACTGGCTCCCCCAGTTGCCTTAAATTTTTTGGGAATCAATCCAGTTGCTTTATTCAAATGAATTTCCAATGGATCAGAATGGAAGCCGGCTCCACAACATTCGTAGACAATGGAAATCCCCAGAACCAACAGGAGGAGTAAATATGCTGGTAAGGAGGTTTTATAAATCTGCAACACTTTAAAAGTAAGTAAAAATTGCAAACAAATTGGACTATTTCCTTATTCATACGACTCTTCAATTGTTATTCACAGTACGTCTTGACAATTTCAATAACCAAGATAGGATCATAATGATGAGTTCTGAGTGTTTACACATCTAATTTAGCATAAACAATTGAGAAACGACTAAAGCAACAGTAAGAACAGTATTAAGTATTCTGTCTAAAAATAACGAGAAGAAAGACCATATTTTTACCGAGTTATAAATATCCATAAACGAAGATTATTATACTAATTAGACAATCAAATTCTATGAAAATAATCACATAAAATCTGGGGAATACCCCAATACCAAGAAGATCTGAAGGATCCAAGTTCATCTAAAGAAGCCAGGCAACTAACATATAGTTTCATATCACTGAAATATAGGTACAAGTTCAAAGTCTGAAAATTAGGAACAACCATAAAACACACAAGAAAAATGCAGCTTCCGAAGAATGTATTTTACTATTTTGTCTGGGTAAGTCTAGAAAAGCAAACCAAACCTTCTTCATTAACTGATCTTTGCCAGGAAGGTTTCTGTCTGCATGCTCAAGGCTATAGCGTAGCATGTCGACTATTGTCAATGCAACAGCTGAATCATTGCTTTCTGTATCCATCATAAAGCTTAACTAGTCAAGAGTCAAGAATCATATCTTCAATATTATTTTGCACACATAATCATTATGAAATTTATGTGTGTTACCTGGGATGTCAAAAATTTGTCTTGTTGGAGGAACACCCAACAACTTACCCAAATGGACACGTACTCTCACACGATCACTAAGCGACAGTAAATCTCCATGTGTGACTACAACAGCCGGCTTGTCATCTAAGACATAGAAAGATAATTTAAAAAAAAAATAAAAAACAATGAACAATCCAAACCCAGAAAAAGAAGAAAAAAATACTAGGTAAAAACACGAGCTTCCATGGATCTATCTCCCAGGAGATGAAGAAACAAGGAAGAGTGACTATGATATGATACATCACCCACACAGCAATATTTGATTCTATCATGCACGCCTGAGTAAAATAAAATGTGTCCGGACTGAAGTTTCAATCACTGTGTCACATACTTTCCTCCCAACTACAGAGAGTGAGAGAAGTTGTAAAACCTACCTTTGAATGACAATAATGGATTCTTGAAAGTTGTAGCTATCATATCAGTATATGATTGGTTTGTCTCATTGTCACCGTCCATCGATTCTAACATGGAAAGCCCATTCACAACAAATATGACAAAGTTAATCTTCCTGACCTGACTGGGATTGCACCTGCTCTTTTGTGCCTTGCACTTCAATTGGCCTTTTAAACTTGAACAGTCAGACTCTCTGACAAAAAAATATATGACAACATAAACTCCAGGTTTGCCAGATTGAAAAACTAAAGAAGATAGTATTATGCAATTTATAATTTTATATTGACCTCTTGACCAGTTCTCCATGGCGAACACCCTTCGTCATCCAACGTTTGAGCATTTTCAGATTTTCTGAAGAATCATTGGACAAACTGCGTGTGTCATACAGACAAAAAGAACCTGAACCTCTTGGAATCAAGTACTCCTGGAGGAAATAGGTCCCATTTCCAATAGATATGTCATCTGTTCGAGTAAAAATGACAGAAAATGAAGCTGTAGTTGGATAATCTAAGTACCACACCCTACCATGTCAATGCAACCAAAAAGTCACACACGGATTAGATGATAGATAACATTATCTTTGGTGATATACACATTGACAAAAATGGAGAAGTGACAATGCATACATGATACTTGCGCTCTATCTGGTGCAAAATTGTCGTCTTCAAGCACCCTAGAAATTTTGTTGACAAGGCTACTCTTTCCAGAACCCTTTGGACCAATCAATAAGAGTGTTGTAGTCTTTGGGACATCATAGTCACTCAAGTCCATGCCAGCAACCTTTTCAATCCATGAACCGGGGGTATAGCTGTGAGAAATAAACCAATGAATAAGTTCATGGAAGCTTATTCACAAATCTATCTAATCACAAACAGATTGATAAAGTGCTACCATCTTCTTCTGCTCTTTAACAAATTAGCATAGGAATCATTTTCGCAGGTGAAAAGGGATAAAGGGGTAGGGACATGGTTATGTAATAGTTCGCCTCTTAGGAGAAGAATCAGTTCGCTATTAGTGTTAATGCTGCACATGTAGACAAGGCACCAAAGCAAGGTAATCCCTGTTGATATAAGATCTCTCTTGCGGAGATTTGAATAGTTGGCCAGAGTTCTTCAATCTTATATGAAGTTGTACTCTTGATATATTTCAAACTGTCAAATTAAACTAACCGCTTTAAAAGTTATGGCCTCGGATAATTCGTATTGATTCCATTTAATTCCCCGAAGTCACACAATTAAAGGTAATTATACACTGCTGTCACTCTCATTTTTTCTCATTCCATAATGCTTGCACTGTGCTATTAGGAGTCCCCGCATTCAAACAATTATGCATTTTGACAGTATGCCATTTGTTCCTCTCCCCAAGTCATCATACTTGTAGGGATTCAGGAACCAGCTCTTGCTCAATAAACAAAGCCATAGCTATTTCTAAAGCCAGGAGCTTAAAGACCTGCCATGGTCATTCATATATCAATTTAACTACTTCCCAACCAACCCCTCATTGAAGTTGGTCTTCTCTCCTGGGGGATCGGGTTTGTAATGTTGGGAATCCACTTATACATGCACAGCGGAATTTAAAATAATTTTCGATTCCCACCAAGAATCGCCTTTGTGTTTAGATAGAAATTGTGACAAGATTGTACTTTTTCCAGATATGCAATCCTTTTGCTTTTCTTTTCGTTCCACAACCTTGATTCGCCACCACAGCTGTTCAATTGTCCAGCCTCCAACGGTGATCCACACAAAGAATATGATTGCAGCCTCTAGGGTTTTCTCTTGTGCCAGCAAGAATAATAAAAACCTTATGGACCTCAAACTCTAGTTATGTATTTATATAAACCCAAACAGGCTCAGCCCGATCCGGTCCAATAATTAATTAATCCAATTAATTAAATCCGGTCCGTGAATTAATTAATCCAATTAATTAATTCGAAAATATAAATAACAAATCCAATTAATTAATTTATCCAACGATTGTTAAATTAACCAATTGACAATTTGCAATCTTCCAATTCTCTTTTGTGTGTGACCCATTAGGTTCCCGACCATGATGGCTAACGACGTGAAATATTATTTCGATCTAATCAAAATTGATAAATTAAAACACCCTTTTAATTTATCGTCAATTCACATTCGCCGTCCCTGATTGACATCTAGCAATGTGTCAGGGCAATACATGTGATGGGAAATGTCACGTGGTATGACAAAACAAAATTCGTTCGTTTACCGTGAAACTATAATCCCTTCGTCAATATGATCCGATCAATTACGAGATATGGAGTTGTGTCAATCTCGATCATCGATCATATCTTTCACTCCACTATTAAGTCAATATAAATCGAAAACTCCTTTTCGACTTATGAGTATACCTTGGCTAAGGATTTCATCATTGACTTAATTGAATGAAACGCAGATCATAATCTCCTACTATCTAAGAGTGACGAATCCTTTATTGATCAATCACAACCTTCATACGATTCTTGACGTACCCGAACGATGTCGTATTAGCGGCCGTTTTCAAAGCAACATCCAACACCGCCAAAGTATGACTGTCCTCATATAAGGTACTATGACGACCTCAAGTCAAAGGACCAATTCCACTACCGAACGTTAGAGATTAACCACTGACACTCAGATAGTTATCCATGTGGAATCTCTCGACGGGTCTCCAATATTTTGTTCTATAACAAAAACATCCACGTGTTCATTTAAGTGTCACCACACTTTAGCATGTGAGATCAGCTACTTACTTCACAAGTAAGAAATGCCACACGTGATGGTCTATCCGTAATAACGATATCCGTATCTCGTTATTACTTACGACCACGGATGATTTAAGATTCAATCAGATGTAATTTGTATCTCACAATCACAACTCCTTGTGATTAACAAATTACAAATATTTGAATTTACGGACTCTATTATTTATTTAATTGTCCATTAATTAAATAATAGATCTGTCATTTAATTGCATTAATTATATATAAAAGTATTTATGTCCAAAGTTAATTGGACCTAGGGCATAATACTTACATGTAAATCATTCAAAATCAACTTATTCCACTCAAAAAGGTTGTGCAGATCACACCAATAGTAAACAGCTTAAGTATGGCAAAAGAAAAATAATAACACTGCTTCAGTGAACATGATATTGACAATAAGATCAATAAATGAGGCATCCGGGTTTATTACGAGAACAAGCCCGATCATACCTCAAGATTTTACTTTTGGCCTCCTCCAATCTCTCACTCTTATGCTGTAATTCCTCGTAACTCCTCAAAACTTCCGCATAGACCTTGCGCCTCTGCCTCTCTGCAGGGGAAAAATCCACATAATCCCGTACACTTTCTCCATTGATCACGGGATCATTCTCATCCTCACTGAACCCATAATTAAACAGCATAAAATCAACTCTAAATTTCCATCAAAACCAACATTTCCACAAATGATCACAAATATTAATAAACAAAAAAGTACCTGTATAAACTGGGTTCAATCGATTCATGTGGAAAATCTTGTTCTGCCAATGATTTTTCTTCTGCAATCGTAAAACCCAGTTGGAAACATACAGTATTACAGAATTATTAAGTATATTCGACACTTTTACCACTTTATTTATCTCAACTATGTGCGTGTGAACGCTTATAAAGATGGATCATGTTATAGAGAGTAATTTAAAAAAAAAAAAAAAAATACAAGTACCAATTGCAGAAATTGGAGAAAAGATAGTATCGCCACCCATTACTGCTCACTTTCTTGTCACTGGAATGCTTTCAGTTGAAGATAGCGATTCATTACTGATGACGATAGAGATGAAGGTTACGTGTATCCAGGAAGCGCAGAATCGCAAGCTACGTGTAAACCATGATGTTTTGGCTAAGCTTCAAAATATTTGACTTATTTTATAGATTACATTTGAAATAAAAACAATCACTTATTTTAAATGAAACGTTGTTTACTCAAAAAAAAAATAATAATAAATAAATAATCATGTTTTACTTGCATTTAAGCTTAGTCAAACATGCTTGCTTAAGAGTTACCATTTGGCCCCCATTACGTGGAAAAATTAATGGGTAAAATACTGTTTTTTTGAAAAATGAGTGATTGAAAAAGAATAAAAAAATTTTGATTTATGTGTAGTATTATTTTATGGAAAATTGTGTGGTTGAAAATACGAAAGAAAAAAATGAAATATATTGAAATAAAAATTAATGGAGATCAAACACGGGCTAATGTACTTCTTTCTATTTTATAAAGGTCAATTAACGTCTTTATCTTTTATTATTATTATTTAAAAAAAAACGTATATACCTTTCAAAATTTTGACATTTTCACTCTTAATTACACATTTGACTACCAGGCCTCCTCGTATATTTTCATCCAATTTCACTGTTAAGTAAGGGTTATTTTCATCAATTTTCCCTTGCTTCCCCATGTGAACCCATTTCCTCCTATATTTCCTTCTCTGAAAACAAACATTTTGTTTCTTGGGACACCCAAGAAAAGATTGAGGCTGCCGGTAAGAAAAGGAAGAAGACAGTGTGCTGTCCAAGGCTGGGAAATATGTGAGGGCCTCAAAGATACATGAAAAATGTAATAATTTCCAAGTGATTTTGACTCCATTTGATTTGATAGAAAACTAGTATTTGCGATGTATCTTCAAATCATGTGCCTCACACGGGGGGATTTTGAACTCAGGTTGCCAAATACATTGAGTATGACATCTCTTTCAATGAGGAGGAAAATAAATGGTCCAAAGCACTAAAAATCACTTGCAACCTAAACAATGCAGCTTGCAAATTGAAATCGAAAGATTATAAGCAGGCGGAGAACCTATGTACAAAAGGTAGATGATCGATTTCCTTTAATTGCCTTTTCAAATCATGAATTTTATTTGTTTAATGAGGAATGTGTGTGAAGGTGAAGGTGAAGGTGAAGGTGAGGTTTGCTAAACTAGATGATCGATATTAACCACTGTAACATTGTTGCCTCAAGCAAGCACATATTTTGAGAAAGTACGGTGGTTGAGGTCAACGCGAGCGATTTACAGGAAATTTTCCTCCTAAATAAACATGCTACAATCCTAAGAGAACTCGGATATTTAGTACATATTTAGTTCGACTTTATTTACTCTGACCTATTTATTATAGTAAGACTTACAATCTCTTCAATTAAATCTAATTAAGTTGATTAAAGAGTAGATACACTTTCTACCATCAAAATAGAGTAATCTACTTGAACTTTCAAGCCAATATTTTTCTTTGAATAGCCTGCATTATTAATGTATTACTCACAAATTTAGTCACTTGGAGTCTGGAGAAAAAATTCTATAAAGCTAAACTATATGAAAAAAGTAGAAACATTTCTTTACATAATCTAAACTATAGTCAATTCATTTTGCTTATGCTCTTTCAGAAACTAGGGCTCCGTTCGTTTTGTACTTCAGTTTTGAGGTTGAATTCATTTTCAAATTTTTCGGTTTTGCCGGTTTATTTTAAAATTGTAGAAAATGCGTTTAATTTGACATTTCAAAAATTGTTACACAAAACAGAAAACTAAAAAATAAGTTTGGTTTGGATTTTTCAATAATTATTTTACGACATTTTACTTAATGGATTTGATTATTTAGTGAAGTAGAACATTTTTATGCTAATAAATTATAAATTTTAGAAAAATTCTACATATACAAAATTTTTTCATACAGAACAAAACCAGAAATCTCACATGGGGTGGGGCCCAAGTGAGTTTTATATTCAAAAAATTAAACCACTTACTCCATGTGCTGTGAATAATCTGTAAGGTTTCTGGCAAATCATTTTCTGTACATATAGTGTCTTTCTAAATTTTAAAGTTGTCGAATCTTACTAAAAACAAATTTATATACAAATAAAATAAAAATAAATAATAAATTGAATTGAAAAAAAAATGGATAATTCTAAGTGTACATAATTTAGTTTACCTACTCTCACAAGCACGTGGACCCCGCGTGAATAAAATAATTCCAACATGTGGTCCCCACACTCCTATTGTGAGTGTATGTAAAGTATTAGGTAAAAAAATTAGGTACATTTAGTGTGGTCCAAAAAAAAATTAACAAGTGAACTGAGAATTACAGAATATTATTGTAAATGATAAGATTGATGCAAACAATTCAATAGTAAATGTACTAGGAGTAAACGATTGAACATTGATAGTAAAATTAAATAACAATAAAATAAACTTACAAAATCACGTATGAGTTATTGAGTAACCTTCATCATTTTCACACGTACATGCACTCTCCTAATAAAAAAAAAAAAATTCCTCTACTGTATTTCCATCTTTGGTGTTGTAGAAAGTGATAAATATATTTTACACGCCCATTTCTATTTATAAACTTAAATTATTTTTGCAAATTTGAGTGACTATCTACTTACATTAGTATGAATATTGTTATTGTGGGTGAAACTCAAACTTTTTGGCATTTGAAGCAAAAATGACAAATTTTTAATTTAATTGGAGTTGAACTAGAGCAATTGAAGGCTAACCAGATTGCACGAGATTAATAAGAAAAAATTAGGAAGGAACCTAAGAAAATTCACAAGTTTCAGGAGTGAAATTCAACTTATCAAAAGTTTGGTGACTATATTTTTGGAACTTGTGGAGGACCAATTTTGAAAGATTATTGAGATTGGGGACCAAGGAAATAGGTATTGAATTACTTTTAATTTTTCATGTTTCAAGTGTTTTCAACTTTGTGAAAAAACTCAAATTTTTAAAAACATGTTTATTATTATTTTTTTAATTGTAAGTTAACTTTATTTTCAAAAATACATTTCAACAATGCCAAGTTAATAATTTTGGGGTGTTTTACAAATTTGAAAATAACAAACAAAATACCCCCTAAATTCCTAGCAAGCCACGTCAGAAAATGGGAACCTTATCAAGAAAATATCCTGAATTGAAAAAAAAATAAAAAATAAAAAAAAATAGACAAATAAGACAAAAAAATTGAAAAATAATGTATTAGTGTAAATTAATGTAAAATTACATATCATTAAACGACTGCATCTCATTAAAATTTTGCTCCATTTCATAATAATAATAATAATAATAATAATAATAATAATTAAATAAAAAAATGAAAATCCAATTCCATAACCTCGAAAAGAAAATCGCCGCACTAAATGTTAATAATATTTGTTCATTACACTTATTCCCATTTTTTCCCATCAAATTATGCTCAATTTTACATTAATTAGCATTATTCTATCATTCAAAAGTCTGTTAACAAGGCATAGAAAGACTTGTTTATTCTCAAATGTGTGACAAAATATATATCCCCTATCTTAAAGAATAATAATGATATCTAGCACTAATAGCATTGAACATTGATCTAGATGTCAACATATTATATGTCCAATTGAATTGACCATAATTCTTTGTATTTAATTGAACTTATAATTTAATGTCTGATGTTAAATATCAGTAATGTTAAATAATAGGGCAATTAGCTCAAACGTTCTTATAATTCAATGTTTATTGTGCAAAACGTTATTACCTTTCATTTTTTGGCATTTTCACCCATATTTTTACTTTTCATTGCGAAAAAGATCATTTTATCCAATTTCTCAATTAAAAAAAATGTCAAATGACAATTATGACATCCTATTTAAATAAAACAAAAAATAAAAAATAAATTAAAGAACAAATTACAATTGTACTCCACACTTTTTTAAAAACTACAAATGAATCCAAATAGATTATTAAATAATAATTAACACAAAACATCCATACTTTTCAATATTATTGTGCAAAATATTCATACATTTCATAATTTGGAATTTTCACCATTATTTTCCATTTCAATGTGAAAATCATTTTTTCATCCATTTTTTGAATTAAAAGTTGTAAAATAATGAATATACCTTCATATTTAAATAAATAAAAGAATAGAAAATAAATTGCAACTAAACTTTAAATTTAAAAAAAAAAAAACAAAAAAATTTCAAGAAAAAAAAAATTTAAAACAAAAAATTTTAAAAATCACTTTCGTTTTTTAATTATTTATTTAAAATTTATTTGTATTTTTTTTTTTTGAAAATTCTCAAAATATAATTACAATTTGTTTATTTTGATTTTATTTAAATAAGAAGGTATATTCGTTATTTTACAGCTTTTAATTTTAAAAAACAAATGAAAATGATTATTACCGCAATGAAAGGTGAAAAAAATGTGAAAATATCAAAAATTAATAGGTATAGATATTTTGCACAATAATATTAAAATGCAAGAACATTTTGTACTAATTACCCTTTTAATAAATTTACTTGAACTCATTTACAATTTTTTAAAAAGTTTGAAAGTATAATTGTAATATGTTGTTTAATTTTTCTTTTCTTTTTTCTTTTTTTTGCTTTATTTAAATAAGAAAGTATATTTATCATTTTACATTTTTTTTTATTAAAAAATTAGATGAAACGACTTTTTTCGCAATTTAAAGTCAATAAAAGTGAAAATGCCAAAAAATAAAAAATACAGGTAAAGACGTTTTGTACTAACTATCATAAATAATATTACTTATCTTAAAGGATGCTCGTTACTAGGAATTTGTTTATGCTAATTAATAAAAAAAATCATTCTACTTGTACACTTTTTTTCACAGCTTTTTTCCCATCACACACATGCAAGTGGGTGGAATCCACAATTAAAATAATCGTGAACCCCACCTTTGCGAGAGAAGTGTGAACAATGATGTGAATAAAAGTGATGTACAAATAGGATTTTTGTACTAAAAAATGGAGATATGTCGATACGAATTCAACAAAGAAAGAAATATAAACCTGACAATAAATAAACAATTAAAACGCTGTGGGACCGAGGAACACCGCAATATATCCACGCTTGGAGACTATATGCGGTTGGGATTTGCATTGGACGGAGAGAATCTTGCGAAATCATTGGGATTTGGCCTTTATATATATATATATATCTATATATATATATATATATTTTTTTTTTTTTTTTTTTTTTTTGGAAAATTGCAATCAAAGTTTCTTAACTTTCCAAAGTAAAAATAAGTTCCACACCTTTATTTCAACATACAAATAAGAGTAATACTATTTAGCTCAACTAAAATTATCTCTCGTCTATGTAATGCTAATGTAACATTAAATAATAAATGAAAGTAAATGGATCGTTTAGGCTCTATTTGGGAGGAATTTTGAGAAATGATTTTTTGACCATTAGAAGAAAAGTGGAGTCCACCTATGTGAGAAGAAGTTAAAAATTACGACTGAAATAGTGAAATAATAATCAAAAAAATCAATTTTTGGGTAAAAAATCCCTCCCAAACAGACTTTTAATCTTACATTTTATTAGCCTATCACTACATAAATTGGGTTTATAATCCTAATGGAGCTAAATAACATTAGTCCATAAACAAAAACGTTTAAATTAAAAGCCTCCAAAAGCATTAGTTGGCATGTTCATTGTACATGTCTAACTGTTTGAGGTTATATTATATGTTAATTTTCGTAAGGTCAAATATTATTATGATTTATGTAAACAATTAAAACAATGTCAATGCTCCTGAAGAACAAGTATCACATCGATATGTGGCACCATAAAGAATCACGGCTTATATACCAATATTTGTCGATGCTCTAAAAATATATTAAACTTCAATTAATCAAATATGAGAATTCTAAAGCATATAATACTGCTTAATTTCATGAAAATATGTAAATAGTATCATACTAACTAAATTTTGTCATCTCACAATACAAAAAAGGAACTCGATAGTAATAAATTTTGGTCCATCCAATCAAACATCATATTAAACAGATTGAGTCAAGTATAAACTTTAATTTTCTCGTGTCCAAAACTCCCATTGCCCAAAAACTATAACTAATCACATCTACTCTTCATCGCATCTTCAAAAACAATTTGTAGCCATATAGAATTTTCAGGGAAAAGAAAAGGCACAAAAATACATGAAGGACGGATCCATACAAAAAATCATTTATCTGTGCTATCCTCGTCTCAAGAAACAGAAAAATCTCACACATAAACCTTATCATTTCCATGGATGAGAGTACACAACAGAGAGAACTCATAATCAACACGAGACAAGAAATAATACTTTGTGAAGAAAGTCAGGAGGAGATTAATTGTGGTGTAAAACACATTCCTGTTTAGAAGGCTATGAGATTGAAAATATTTCCTTAAAAGATGGATGACACTTGCCCATTGGAGACTATATTAACTTTTTACAAAAAACCATTGTCTTATTTCCTGATTGTGAGAAACTCGAAGCTTCGAAGAGGGTCATTGCGAGTACCTTTATTGGGTGCAGCACGAGAGAACGATGATGGCTTGGGTTCAATCCCAGGTTGAATCCTTTGCGTGGAAGACAAATGATCAATGCTTGATACCAATCTGGATTCACCAGAGGCACTAGGCCAGTCGCTCAAAATGGCAGCTCTCTTTGAAGAGCTTCCATTTCGAGAAGTTTGGCCTCTTTCTAAGTCCGGTTGCTGCAAACAAGAAAACAAAAATTAGCCAATACAGGGACCCATCTGCCATACCTTGCATAACGAAGTATCAAATAGCAGCCTGGTAGCAGCACCAGGTTACTTGGCTATTAGACTTTAATCAGAGATAATCCACAAATCAAAATAGACCCACTTCAACTCACAACTCACCAACAACAAGTGCCTATAAGAGAGATGAGAGAAACAGGGCTACCAGGAAATTGTGATGCAAATATTACATAATAGACATCTACAAAACCCTGTCAAAAATTTCTTATTTTCAAATACTGAACCAGAAGCAGATTCTTTGTTACCTTACAACCAATTCTCCCTTGCCACCCAAAATCTCACTCACACATCCATTGACCCCCTTTTTTTTTTTTTTGATAGGTAATCAGATAATTTTATTACTTAAAAGAGATTTTTTTTAAAGGGAGGTATTTTAGAATATCTCTATTTTCTTCACCCATTTCTCCTCCATACCAGTCTTGAACCCCCGACCACATGGTTGAGAAATGAATCCCACGACCACTGAAGACAGGGAGGACCGGTTCTCTCACATCCATTGACTTACAAATAGAAGAATTAATAATAAGTTGTAGATAGAGGTAAAAAATACCACATCCTTGGATGAAGGTACATCTGATGTCCTGTGTCTAGAATGTTCGGCATGCCAACCAGAACCCAAAGCATTTTTTCTGGAAAAAGCTTCGACAGCACCTGAGAATCTATCTCGAATGTCTTGCCCCACTGGATAATATAACCAAATCAAACAAAAAACAAAAAACAACAATAAATGTACAGGAACCAGATACATCACTATTTAAATTTCTGTGAGAAAATATTTTAATTCAAGATGCCCATCCCCCGCAAACAACATAATTTGAAACTGAAGCAGATATCAGTACGTGGCCAAATGGGAGGGAGAGAACAATAAAATCTTCATTTCAGGGCACTAATTTTAGTTAAACAGATATACCTGATGTTCTTCCTGGTCTTTCGCTAGAGGTTCCAGCCACTGCATTTCCACTGGAATTCTGGAAGCGAATGCATGAGCTAGTATTATATTATCCTATGAAAGAAGAAAAAAAAAACTGATAGTTGTGCAAACACTAACTCGTGTTCTTGAACTGGAACCAATCTGAGGATACTTCAATATAGTCCAATCAAACACATAGTCAAATTGGTAACCTGCACCAAAATGCAGATAGAGAAACATTTGCATGCTGAAACAAGATACTTGACAAGGTATACAACAAACAGATCAGAGGAAGTATATCAATGGAAGAAATCTTGTGGGTACTGACAAACTAGAAGTTGGAAATTGAGACAATATAACATAGTTTACGGTCATCACCTTCCCGAATAAACAAGTCTCGGAAAAGCCTCTTCAAATAAGAATAATCTGGCTTGTCCTCGAATCTTAATGATCGGCAATAGTGAAAATATGATGTGAACTCCAATGGATATGATTTGCACAGCACCTATGAAAAATTGGAATCATGTGAACTTTGTGCAAATGTTCGCAACCATCTTGGCCAAGATGACAAAACTTGGATCAGATTTAGCATCCAGAAAGAGGGGAAACTAATATTTAATTAAACCAAATCCATTCCTTCAAAATAAATTACAGACAGAGCAGAATAATGAGAAACCTTTGTGCATCTTATGCAAAAATGTGAAAGAAGTAAACTCCTCATCACCGATGAGGAACAATTGAGGAAAGCGAACTTCGCTCATATGTCAATAACCAAGATCAGCCTAGAAACGAGTGATGCAAAAACACAGCAGGTACAGATTTCTAAGCAGAAAAGTTATTCAAATGAACTGGTTAAGTAACTTTTTAATTCCAAACATGCTCAGATAAGTTGCCTTTCCCTCTCATGCTTATAAAGCTCCAAATAAGCCCCATCCAGACATGCAGTAAGGAAAAGAAAGTTACCTATTTTGAAAGTCATGCTTTATTTCTAATTCTGAATGTTTAGAAAATTATTTTCAAACTTATTTACTTACAATTAAACTCACAAGTTATCGTACGCTGAGGCCAAACATGGTCCACTACTACTTAGAGCCCTATCTAATGCACCATTTTCGAGATGCTTTGGAACACATTTCAAGCAGGGAATGCCTTGCATGTAATATGTTCAATGGACCGGAGTTCAGTAACGCTACGCACAGGAAATATAGCAACGAAGCACGGTTCTTAATTTTTGTGTCTCCCTATGTATGTTATGATATGTACGGGAATTATGGCCCCCTAAATTCGGTTTCTAATCCCAATGTTTCCCTATGTACATTACTATAAATGGGAGTTATGATTTATGTGGCTCACTTATTGAGATTTTATCTCATTATTTATAAATTTCCCCTTCAGATAATTAAAATTCGTCAAGTTAAGAGTTTGGAATGGCTCTCTAGGGGTACAATAAAGATATTATTGAGTAATTTATTGTTTTACTTTTAGGACTTATTAATTCTTCTTTTCCAATAATTGTACTTGGTACAGATGTTATATTTTTATGAAAGCTAAGTCTTTATTTTAAAATACGTTTTAATGATCCAAAAGGTAAATTTTGGGTCGTTCCATACGTACCTCTATAGGAGTTAACATCTTCTTTTCACTAATCTTGTCATATTTCTGCTTTTTGGTGCCAGCTCTAAGTCCCTGCCAGGGGAGGCTGAGATACAAAAATAATAATATTCAGGTAAAACTTTCATCTTGGTAGGAAAAAAGCCCAACAAATATAAAGGGAAGTCAAATTCCTCATATCTAACCAACCTTCCCCTCAGGAAATACATAAGGACATAACCAAGAGATTCCAAATCATCTCTCCGGCTTTGTTCTGCCACAAAATTATAGATGAACAGATTGAACTAAATTAGTTTGCATCAAAGAAAGACATGGCCACATTCTTTATTAGAGACAATTTATCATAATATATTATACTACTTACCAACTCCAAGATGTGTATTAACACTGGCATAACGAGCAGTACCTGTGAGATTCTTGTTTTCCCTGGATTAGAATGTTTGAGAAGTTTGCACAACAGGTAAATCAAAGGCAAGGACTGATCAATTGTGAATATCAGACATAAGACACAATTAGAAATATCCAAAGATACATGGTTTATTATTCACACAAAGTCCTCACTAATTCCAATCCCGTGCCACAGAGACAAGGATCCACTACAGATATGAAGATATTTAATAAGATTATTAGCAAGAAATATATTCATATTACGCTGTCTTGATGCCTAGTCTAGTTGAGGCTGTTACGCATGAAGACAGATCACCACAGGCATAGAACTTTCTACCCTTTATCGGTTTTTATTTTTAAAAGCGTAGCTTATTCTATTTTAATGGTATTTTGAGACCCCCCCCCCCGACCCCCAAAAAAAAAAAAAAAAAAAACTCTTTCCTTCCTCTTTTTGTCCCACTTTTTCTCTCCTTTTATTGTGGACTGGGGTTTAGGGTAACAGAAACAAAAAGTGAATGTAAAAGCAAACCGTTTCTCAGTTATATTGATCATGAAAATGTATAGAGTTAATGGCATAATGTTACTAGAAAATGAAAATGCTCAAATGCATTATCTAAGTCAGTAATTACATCTATGCTCTAAGTGCAGGCATTCAACCAATCTGAACAATCCATACATACATTTGGGTAAAAACATTAATAAAGAGTCGGGACTCAGCAGTTCAATATAGTTGCATAGATGCTTTTATAGAGAAAAGATATCTTGGGTAACAACCTTTTGTTCATTTATGTGACAAGTGAAATCAGCAAAACCCAACAAAATCAAATGGACAACCGTTAGAATTTATAATCTTATTTATGATCTTAACATCAAGATAATATTTCTCTTCCTTCCAGCACTTAATATTGCCGCCAAGCTTATTCTATATTGGTTATAGGTTAAGAAGCACCGACATGAATACGAGTGTCCAACATGATTAAAATATTATTTTATAGCTTATTCTTGATTTTCTAAAAACGTTCCGACACAATACGTCGTCAACACGTTGATTAAAATATTATTTTTTAACTTATTTTAATTTATTAGTCCAAAGTAATAAGTTTTTAATACTTATTTAATTCCCCTAGCAATTTCCTTAGGCTACACAGTGAGGACGAAAGGGATTTGACTTCTTTTGTATGTTTGACTTTTTAATGGAGGATAAAATGGCAAAAAAATAATTCATTACCTGTTGCATTGTTAGACAAAAAGTTGAAAAAATAAATCAAATATCTAGAAATTTATATTGCATTTAATGTTATTGGGCCAAACAACAATCCATACATCCACTGAATTTTCATTCATTTATCTTCTTCATATTCATTTAATCTTATTGGGACAACAAGTAACCCATTTCTATCCACTGACTTTTCATTCACCCTCACATCTCTTCATTTCACCGTCTTCTTCCTCACTCCACGTTTTGCTTCTTTCTTCCTTCTTTCTTCTTCCTCTGTCTTCTTCTTCACAACACCAGTCACCATATTTTGTACAAAATCTGCAATTCTTCAAATCTAACACGCCACAAGGTTCGACACGGGTCGGCGACGTGTCGGAGACGTACTGGTGTCCAATACGTGTCGGACACCGATACGTTGATGCTCGCAACGTGTCCGTGCTTCACAAGTTATAGGTTAAACTTCACAATTAATTTCCCTATGTAAAACCTTTATAAAGATGCCATGCTTCTCTTGCGTCCTTGTGCCACTACTAATTATTTAGATCCAATAACATGATGAGTTATAGTTTGCCATTAATTTTTACTTTGGAAATCCAAATCAGTGTTGAAGACTTGATAACATAAAACGTATCATAGAAAGAATACAATCATGCAATTTCACCTAATTAAATTATGGAGTGAAAGTACCTATAAGGTATGTGCTTATGAGTCTGGAGATCCCTATATTTTTTGGCAAGACCAAAATCGATAACGTAAACCTGCAATAAATAAAATTACTGTCACCCAGAAACAGATACTGCCATCATTTATTGAGCCACGATCAACTATCAATTTTAATAATTTAAAATTGACATCCCATACAAAGTATGTGTCAGAAAATTTCTACCTTAAATCGATGGGAACAAATGCCTCCAGCAATCACTCATAACGGATAAAACTTGAAAGATGGTAGCAACAAAAAAATCTAATATAGAATATATACCCTCAAAGCAGTGAAAAAATATGCAACACTGACCCCAACTAAAAATTGTAAATCTGCCATATAAAAAGCTTCTTTAAGAAGCTTTATCTCGTCTCTTTAATTTTCTACGCATGTATAAATATGGTAATCTTATTCTCAATCAAATATGATAAATTCTTCAGTATAGGAAAACAACTTAACAGCTAACTTCTGTGATCCTCAAATAACTAGGTATCCATTAATTTTCAAAATTTTTAGAATTAAAACTGCATGCCAACATAAGCCAAGCAGCAGAGCATATACAGCACATATAAAGACCAATAAATTTCACATGCGAAAAAAATTATCCTCATAACAGATAAATTGCCTAGAAGTAAAATGACAACATACTTCTGAAGTGATACATATTCACGGCATAACTTATATTCCATGTGCACAACATCCAATGATAAGAGAATAAGACCACGTGACAACCCTCTGAAGTATCTTAAAGGTATAAAAAATCCAGCAGCAAATCAATAAAAGCAACACTAAGCCCCCGTTTGACCCCCATTTCTTAAATCTCATTTCCCAAATTCATTTTCAACCACATATTTCACAGGACACACAACTTTTATCAACATTTACTAAAAATCTAATTTTTATCCAAACCAAACAGGGGCTAGATCCTTCTGAACAATAATTTATATGGTCAAATGTATATCCTTTAACTAACACAAGGAATGCAATAAGCAAGTCAGTAAAGTGTTTCACGATCCTTTAAGCTTCTAATGAATTCAGGAAGAGAAGGGACTAGGAAAATGAGAAGTGGAGGAAACAATTTCTTCTCACAATTTCTGTCAACCAAAGTAAGAACTAAATCAAAAGTTATTCAAATATGGTATATTACAATGACAATGAAAGGTAAATCATGTATAAATTCTATGATTTGTATGGGGCGGGAATGAGAAAAAGTTTTCCATAATGTTGAATCCCTGAAAGATAAGAATACCATGGGGCATAGAAAGAAGATACCAATCGTGTTCAAGCTTCAAAAAGTACATGACTATGCCAAATAAGTTCCAACAAGGTAACAAATATATAACTAAGCCAAATAAGTAGCAACAAGGTAACAAGCATCTCCGAGAGTTGTATATTTGATGAAATGAAACCAAAATACTTAAGTGCATGTTAGGGAAGTGTTAATAAACAGTTTAAATTATAAATAGATAGAATGAGTGGTGGATAAGTGGGTACTACTTGTGGATCCCTTGAAATGTATGATAAAAGTGGCTTGAGTACTTATTAAGAGCTTATAAACATGAGTCAAACATAGGCTTAGCAACAACCTAGACATGCTCATCCAATAGAGAATGAAGTATAAGAATAATAGAAAGGCATACTTGGTTCGCTTTACGCCCTAGGCCCATCAAAAAGTTGTCAGGCTTTATATCACGGTGAAGAAAACCTCTTGAATGCATGTATTCAACTCTATTAATCTGAAAGCAAATGAAAAATTAGCAGCTAATTATAGAAATAAAAAGACAAAAAATCTCTAGTTACTTACTAATTGATCTGCAAGCATCAATACTGTTTTCAAGGAGAACTTCCTGCTACAATAGTTGAAGAGATCTTCCAGACTTGGTCCAAGAAGGTCTATAACCATAATATTATATTCCCCCTCAACCCCAAACCATTTCATGTTGGGAATGCCCGCTATTTGACAATAGAAAGAGACAGACAATGAGATTAACATGTCAAAAGCACATTGCTAGGTAAAATTGCACTAGTACTTTAATGGTATAAACCCACTTAATTAGTATATAAATGCAGTTCAGATACATAGCCAGGCACTAAAAAATGAAATAAAACAAAAAAGACAAAGGAAAGAAGATCTTTCTATCATCTTGAATTTAGAAGAGATTTTCTAACTTTCAGAAAAGTGAAAGACAAAGGAAAGAAGATCTTTCTATCATCTTGAATTTAGAAGAGATTTTCTAACTTTCAGAAAAGTGAAA